GACTATGATTAGTATTATACAGTGTACAGAGACTATGATTAGTATTATACATTGTACAGGGACTATGATTAGTATTATACAGTGTACAGAGACTATGATTAGTATTATACAGTGTACAGGGACTATGATTAGTATTATACATTGTACAGGGACTATGATTAGTGTTATACATTGTACAGAGACAAAAATACATTTTTATAGCCACCAAAGGCTAGTATCATTTTACTGTTGCCAGAGGCAGGAAATATACACAGCAGTAAAGGAATGAAAGGAAAAGTCAAGTATTGCATTTTTCTAGTGAGCACATATTTTAATATAATATTGCAGAGTTTACCTAAACTCATTTTTCATGACTAACCTTTTTAGTTGCTTGCACGTTCATATTTTTGTTGCTGTATTAAAACTAAAATGCTGAAGATTAACCAGGAGAAGGAAATCTGTCTTTGACCTCTGACCTAGCCTCTTTCAACCTCCCAGCTTAAAGAGACCCTGTCACCAACTTAAAAATTGCAGGTAAAAGTACAGAAAAACCAAGCACAAAAGTGCGCCCTTGCAGCGTTTCTCCTTTCCATAATATTTTATTAACTTGCAATGAGCCTATTAATTTGCTAGAAAATTTGAAGACTAGAAACAAGCAGCGCACAGCTCACCCGTCATGCATCTTTGTAATCCACATTTGGTGCACGGATGACCCTCTTCTGGAGCGATGAGCTCAAAAACTGTAGAACACAATGATCTTCCAAGGAAATTCAAACTTTATTCCACATGCTTTTATACAAAAAACAACTGCTGACCAAAAATGAACCGCTTTGAGCCCATCACTCTAGAAAATGTGTCTACTGTAGGAAGAGTCAATTCCCTAGCACAGTCCCCTCCCACCTGTGATGTCATAGCTCTCACCTCTTCTGGGAGTGTAATTACTCACTATGCTGACCAGCTCCTCCACCCCTCTCCTCACCTCCATGCATCACCTTTAATGCAGCAGCCGGAGGAGCGAAAAGAAATACACTTAAGTGACAGTTTCGAGTCTGCTGGAACTGTTGACTTTACATCCAAGATGGCGGAGCCCAGCAGAAGTCTCAGCCTTTTGGATGTCCTCACAAGGGAGGCTTTTACAGATAAAAAGCAGGCATAAAATACATTAAATGCAAACTGTTGGTAGAAAAATGGTTTGGAGACTCTTGAAAACTGTTGAGATAACATATCAGCAACTCAAGGAGTGTGTTGTGTACATTGAGTCAGTTGACTCACAGACTTGCATTGTGAAAAGCAACAGTAAAGCGCAACCATTGTGTAGCACTAAAAAGGAGGTGGAGACTGCATGCTCATTCATACCAGATTTAGGGTCTGTAATGGCAGCCTTGCCTACCACCGTCCCAATGGACAAACAAACAAAAAAATGTAGCATGCAGTACTTTTTTCAATGTGTATTGCAACACAAGCCACTACATCGTAAAATTGCTGGGGTGAATAGAAAGGGTGAATAGAAATAACATATCAATAAAGTTCTAACAAAAAAAAAAGTAAACAATGCGATTGGCACATCAGCACTGTCCCTCCCAGTGCATACCGTGTGTTCAGTGTGGCTGATGTGAACAGGTTCTAAAGAGCAAATATGGCTTCCCCCATGTACATATAAAATTACAAATTATACAGAAAAAAAACAAAACAACATACTGAAAAGATTTGCAGGAAGCTGATCCCTTTCAATGTATAGCTACAAAAAAAGCTAAAAATACACCATCCCTTTAAGCCTCACACCGAGATTGTGATTACAGTAATGGTTAATAACATCACATATGCACACAGGTGCTATAAAACATGAACCCAAACTGAGCAAGCTTGCATAGTCACTGTTCCTACATGAAAGGAAAAAAATACTTGAAGTATAGATTATGTAAATACACCATACTTACAATCGTTTTCTCAAATTCCACTTCTGATGAGGTTGGAGATAGAGGACTTATGGGACTGAGAGACGGAGAGCTCTCCACACTGGAAAGGAAGTCTGGGTCAGGGACGTACAACAGCTTAAAATAAGAACAAAAATCAATAAATGGTTTTACTTACTGAAACCTAAAACATTCCAAAAGGCACAAGAAGGACTCCGACCTTACACTAGAGAAAATAATGAGCAACACTACCTATGCTTCAAATGTTTTATTTCAACACTACAAATTCCCCCATTACTGAAGCACATCACGCTTGGTAGAAGAGCCATTGTGGCTTCATGCAACAGAAACCTCTCAATTCATTGTAAAGGTTAGGAGCAGTCTAATTGGGTTTTCACATAGTTGGATCTAGTGGTGGGGAACTTGTGTAATGCCCCATCCATGAGCAATAGTAGAAGAGGGTCTGGGTGTAGCAGATATGGTACAATCCAGATAGTTTGAAGGATTTGTTGTAAATAGCTGAAGTTATTTACAATACAATTGCTCAGCTTCAAATAGGACAGCAGGTAGTGAGAAGATAACAAATGTCTAATTCAGCGGTTTTCAGACAATCATCTCATTCCTATGGTGGCAGTCAGATACCTGCCAGCTGCACAGCTACACATTCTCCAAGCGGAGATGGGAGTGTGGTGTTGGGAGTCCGGGCCTTAGCTGGTAGGTCTTGGTTGGAGCCTAGGTTATCAGCTACCCACAAAACGGGGTTCTCCCCGATATAGGTGTCACCCTGCTTGGGAAACCTACATGTAGTTGAGCCAGAATGAGAGCCAAACATTTTGGGGAATGTGTTTTATTGATTTCACAAATGGTAAAAAGGATAACAAAAAGGCAGCTTCTAGAGAGGCAGAGCAAGCTGTCAATCAGCCAGCGGGGTGGACCTCTATAGTATTGTCAGGATCCATTAGGGATGGGGCGTGGCTTTACAGCGAGCAATAGCCCGCTATATAGTGAATTTTGGATCATCTCATTTATCGTGTATAATCTAAGCTCCTGCTATTTATTCACAGCCTATTGACAGCACAGCAGTAACATTAGCCTGGCAAAAATAGGAAGCAGCCTACAGCTTCTACTGCTGGATTCAATGCTGTAGACATGAACACAAAAAAAAGATATGCAAACACACTGGGGGGAATTTATTATCGCATGTGTGAGTGTTTTCTGTCTTATCCAGCCGCATTGTAAATATTTAGCGCTATTTGCGTAAGATTTATTGTTCCATGTTAAGCTCACTTAATAAATGACATCATACTTTAATCCGTCGCATTTCAGACAAAATGGGAGAAAGCACCCCCCTGACATGATGGCAGATAGCAAATAAGCCAATGCTTCCCTTGCTATCTGCTGTCTTTTTTAGTATTCTGACACGGTTGATGTCAGAATAAAAAAAACAAAAAACAATAGCATAGGAATGAATAGCTAGGTTGCTATTGGCTATTTCAATTTGCAATAGCCAATAGCAAGCTGGCTATTGCACCTGCCCTCTGCTGCTGTCAATCACCAGAGGTGGACCTGATGGAGAACTTCAGGTCCTCCTCTGCTGAATGACAGCAGCAGTGGGCGGGTGCAATAGCCAGTCTGCTATTGGCTATTGCAAACTGAAATAGCCAATAGCAATCTTGCTATTCATTCCTATGCTGGTTTTTTCTTTTTCTCTGACTGACAGTGGCTGACGGCCCCCGATGTCAGGAGAAAAAAACCCAGACAGCAGTGAAAGGTTTACTCTGCTAGATAAAGCAGATTAAACATTTCTGGGAGAAAAATGTTTCTTAAATCAATACACTACATCACATCAATAATAAAATTAAGAGACAAAAAAGTAAAAATTACATTCTCTCCCACATAGACCTTAATTTGTGCTTCAATTAGAAGTGTTCAGCGGGACTTCTTGCGTTGGGAGTGTTTAAGAGGGATTCTGCGCCTGTCTCATTAAAGCGCTAACTGATTAATTTGCAAAACATCAGAAAACAGCCACAAAGACTCGCAAAGACAAAACAAGAGCAAGCTAGGATAAAAACTGGCGCACAGGATGACAGTAGCAGCTACGGCGGTTTTGCGCTGGAACAAGGACAGAAAACACTCGCTGATGCGATAATAAATGCCCCCACCGTATATCTCCTTTACAAAGCAGAGGCATCACTGGGAGTTAAATGTGCCACTTGATGAGCTCTGTGCTCCAAATATAGAAAATATATAATGTTGGGGGGTTTTAAGTAATTTTCAGGCCTAAAATGTGGAATATAGTATGGGTACAAAAAATTAAAAAAAATGCCTCAGTCATGAAGGGGTTAAAAAAAATTATACATAGAACATACCTGTCCGGGGACAACAGCTCTGGAGAAAAGCTTGTTTAGCTGAACCAGCTCATTTGGTGTTGTGTCAAACTTCAGAGCAATGCTGTTCAACGAATCCCTGGATTCCACCTGTAGGATAGAAGAGATTATTCCATTTAAACAATTCTGCAAATCAGTTGCCAAAATGAAGACCTATGCAAGGCAAAGCGACAGGTTCCCATAACCACCATGCAGTACTCATTGTCCGAGTGGCCTGGGGTCAGACCCTAGCACTGCTATGTGGTGGTAAGTTAATTAGCCCATGGAAGGGCTGACACAGACATTAAAGAGGAGCCTAACTTCACGGCCCCAGAGTTAATTTTGCTTTTAACCTCCCCTTACCTTGCCTGCTGGGTTGGGCTTAAATAGAATACTCACCCACCCAGTAGATCCAGCGTTGGCCTGATGTGAACTGGCGATCCCTCAATGTTATTCTACATTTTGGGTCTTCCTGGTTCACGCAGCCTGCCCCAAATGACATGCCGCCAGGTCTACCCTGATGCATCCTGGGATATCTGACGTGGATATCCAGGAAGCTGCTACTGCGGGGTAAAAGTAATTTTCGCCTAGGCATGAATGCAGCGTATCTTTCCCATATAAAATGTTTTTATTATTTTCATCACAAAAAACAATCAACAGTACATAACATCACAGTATGCGGTGCGCAGACCGTAGTATTGACAGTAGGGCGAGCAGTAATATTAAATACAAGTCGTATTTCCTATAGGAGGTGGTTACAGGTGTCGGGTCTATCTCCCTGACAGGGTGGTGAATGTGGTTAGACAGCAATCCATGGGAAAAAGCATAACATACGTATATAATATTGTAACAGCATTTGTATTTATGACATATTTGCCAGTTGGGATCACGTAAGAGAGGAGTGATTAGTAAGTTATTCTACCCTAAGGAATGTAGGGTAGGAGATAACCAGGATGCACCTCAAGTACCCTTAGGAGTTCCAAAGCTGTGGAATATCAGAGGATGAAGGTAACTAGGCTGTTTCGAGTTTAGTCTGTAACCGTCCTGTTAGAGTATCAGACCACAGCACCACTGAACACAGACAGGACAACATAAAGTGGGGGGGACACACAGATAGAGAGGGGGTCATCAGGCGATAAGAGGGGTCAGGTCTTAGAGAGGAGGGAGAAGAGAGAGAGAAGGAGGGTCGGGCAGTACATTGGCGCTAGTGAACAGTGTACGAGGCAGGTGTGGCAGATTAGTTTAAATAACACATAGGCGGCGAGAGGTGCCTGGTGCCAGGTATTTGTCTATCCACGGGGACCAGGTATTCTCAAATTTGATCATCTTATCACTAAGTTGCGCAGGTCGCTTTTGAATGCAGTGTTTCTAAAGATCCTTGAGTAGTCCCGTTCTATATACAGTGTATTAGATGTGAGGACCCTGAGAGACATACCATCGCTGCAGCGGAACTGGGAAAAGCTTCAGGGGCCGAAGTAGCAGCCAGCCAGGCTCCATGGTTTGGGTGAGTGTAACTTTTTTATATTTTTAACACCTGGACAAAAACAAGCAGTTATCCCTTGCAATGCGGGGAAAGCCCCACTGCAAGGGTTATGAACAAAATGCCCAGAGTTCTACTTTAAGCCTTTAGGTGACCATGGGAGCACAGGGATGGTATTTTTCCATGCAGGAAGGGAGAACGGGTGAAGCTACTGTATGAATTGATCTTATCAATTTGGCCTGAAAAGCATGAAATCCATTTTTGGTTTTAAAGAAAATAACCCAAGACTAATCTATATCCACACCATGACCTGAAAGTCAGATGATTATGTCATTACAGCAAATAAAAAGCACTGGGCCGATTCTATCCTTCTCTGGTTAATCGGTAGAGATGAATAGAATGTTTTGGACCAAAGCCCAACACACCTGACCGTGAGAAACACCAACACAGTTCTCCTGGGATCCGCTGATCTACACACATAACTTGACTGTTGTTGAAATGCTTTAGGAGGATAACTAAATGTCATAGAAAATCTATTTTGCACCCTTACTTAGCTTGAATTACTTGGAGCCTGACTGTACAGTCAGGAGTCAGAGCTCACACGCCATCTCTCAGCTCCAGAAAGCGCATAGCAATATAGAACAGAGCCCTGTAGTTAAAGATGTAAATGGGGCAAATGTAAATCTTACATACTTAGAAAGCACAGTTATAAATCAATAAAGTGAAAATAAACATCTACATTGAAGAACTCGGGCGAAATGTCTAAAGTCCATCACACTGTTCAAATAAATGTCACAGGCTCTGCTTGTATTACCCACCCACCACTAACAGACATGTGCGACTCCTGGCATTGGCTCATATTTATGAGCTTATCTTATTAATAATTATATATTAAACAAAATGCATACACCTGTCAGTCTCGGCTCTGCCTGACAGAAAAAGGACGAGTACACGCTTCCTCGGGAGGGATGGGTGGGCGAAGCAACACTGGGGAACGCACAGTGTCGCTGAAGCTAACCGCCAAATAGACAGGAGATGATTTATAAAATGTTCACATAGCTCTTTACTTTGAGATTTCCAGCGCTGTTTGGTCACGAGATGGAGCCAAGGTGAATAAGAATTTCCTATGCTCCTCGGCTCCATCTAGTGGCTAGACAGCGCAGTGACTGTCATTAGAACATTGAAGAGCTATGCGAAAAGTTTATTGGACAGCTCCAGAAAGAGTGAGGGTAAATGGGAGTGCGGAGACATATGGAGCTTTGAGGTATGGAAAGATATAGGTTCACATGTTATAATGCTGTAAAAAAAAACTATTTTTTTTTCAAAAGTCAAATTACCTCTTTAAAGAAAGAGTGTGAACATTCTTGCATGAGTCTGTTACTGGTTTAAAGGATCTGCTGACCCAAAACCTGTTAAAAATATGCAGGCTAGTTTGCTTTTCAAAAATGTTAGTGTCCTAGTTGCCATTCTGATCCATTGGCTTCAAAATAGACAAAGACAAGTCACTGACATAACAAAGTATGCAGTTTAGGTGTACTAACCTCATGTACTGTAAAATGTTCCAGGTCAGTGACAAATTATTTAAAGCAGTATTAAATTCTGGCCGTTTTTCACCTCAATGCATTCTGTGCATTAGGGTAAAAACTGCCCAGTACCTTTTTCTCTCCCCCGTCCCCCCACGTACCTGTAATGCAATCCTCCGTTCCCTGAACTTCCTGGTCATGGGGGGAGGATACAGAGGTCAGAGGCACCATAGGTTCCTTCTGCTCAATCAAACTGCTGAGTGGAGAGGAGGGGCATGGCCTGCCGCAGGGATGTGTGCGTCTATGGAGGCACACCGCTACTGCGTGCACGGCCGGGAATGAGCACGCACAGGTGATTCCACAGCAGGTGCTTAGCTGATGGACGCACCGTTGCAGGGGGCGGGAGGCGGAGTGATGAGGGAATCTGCTAGAAAACGACGAAATGAAGACTTTTAAAGAACAAAAACAGCTTACAAAAAAGGTGGGACTCCTAGTTGTAAATATATAAGAAAAACTAAACTTTAATATCACTTTAAGCCAGATAGCTAGGCAACTGGGGCTACTGTGCATTGTGTTGCCAAATCAGGTCCGGTCTGTTGTGCGTTGGCACTCCGTTCAAATTTAATGGACTGTCTTAGGGCAATGCTATAATTAACCTGCATGCAGTAACATTGCAAGCAGCCTTAGAAACTGACTAAAACCTGACGAGAGCCTCTGATGGGATCTCTAAAGCGGAAGTACACCACCAAAACGAAAAAGAAAAAAAAATTGGGCCCCCAGGAGCTTTTAGCAATAATGTTTAAGTATGCACAGCAAACACTTGACAGACTTGCCTACCAAAGCAATCCCCCCCCAGCTCTGCAACGTCAGCGCTCCTCTCTGCCACTGGCGTTTCCATTTCCACCTGGTCTTCTTCAGGGTTTGGAGTCTTCAGCCGCTTGATTGGACGGGTCCTGATAACGTAACTCCTGCATATGCATGACTCGGTCTACACAAACTGCTAATGGACAGGAAGAAGCACCTATGACAGAAGAGACAACACAGTCTCTTCGGTCATAAAAAGCCTGCCCGTCAACACTTTTAACAAATCTTACTTCCCCCTTCACAGTAAATGCATTCAATATGACTGGCACCATAATGTACAAATGCACAGGGTGCGTTTCTGCAACACATACGTCACGCTGGCCTTAATGCTCATAGTCTGGACACAGGAGTACTTTAAAAAGGTAAGCTGGACAGCCATTATGACTTAAGGACTGTTTACTGGACTGCAATGGCAGTACGTTGATTGATGTGCTTTCCGGAGTTCTTTAATATGCAAGGACAGACATTTGCAGCACAAGACCAAAAACATCCATCAGGAAATACACCGACATATGCAGCGCAAGGCTTTTTGTTATACCAACAATACAAACCTAACAGGATACACCCAAGCAGTAAAACATGAAAGGAGAGGAGGAAGATTTCAGAACTGACCGGTACAGCAGAAACGGTCCTTGGGAGTAGGTTGATATCAGAGACGGCATTCACAGACGGAAAGCATTCTGATTATCACGGGGGTAATGGTTATTTATGCCGAGGTTCTGCTTCTAATCACCAATCGACTGGAAATGTCTAGACCCTAGAAGGGCAATGAGGAATAGAAGGGGTCACCATGCTTGGACCTTCATCGATTACCTGCTTGACTTTAACCGCATGTTACACCCCCTTCCTGTTCAGGCCTAACTTTAACCGCATGTTACACCCCCTTCCTGTCCGGGCCTGACTTTAACCGCATGTTACACCCCCTTCCTGTCCGGGCCTGACTTTAACCGCATGTTACACCCCCTTCCTGTCCGGGCCTGACTTTAACCGCATGTTACACCCCCTTCCTGTCCGGGCCCATTTTTTTTTTGTACAGTATTATTGCAGATTTTCGCTTTCCTCCCAAGATGAAAAGTGAGAGAAAATCTTTCTAACGAAGGCCGGTGTTAGCGGTTAAGACCCAACAGGGGTTCTAACTTTTCCTAACACTAATTTAAAAAAAAAAAATTTGGCCGGGCATATATTTTAACCATTTCTCTACTGCTCTACATTCATGAACAGCAAAGTGTTGGATGCTAATTTCT